CAGTTCTAGTTCTGTTCTAGTTCTGTTCTAGTTCTGTTCTAGTTCTGTTCTAGTTCTGTTCTAGTTCAGTTCTAGTTCAGTTCTAGTTCAGTTTTAGTTCAGTTCTAGTTCAGTTCTAGTTCAGTTCTAGTTCTGTTCTAGTTCTGTTCTAGTTCAGTTATAGTTCAGTTCTAGTTCAGTTCTAGTTCAGTTCTAGTTCAGTTCTAGTTCAGTTCTAGTTCAGTTCTAGTTCAGTTCTAGTTCTGTTCTAGTTCTGTTCTAGTTCAGTTCTAGTTCAGTTCTAGTTCAGTTCTAGTTCAGTTCTAGTTCAGTTCTAGTTCAGTTTTAGTTCAGTTCTAGTTCAGTTCTAGTTCAGTTCTAGTTCAGTTCTAGTTCAGTTATAGTTCAGTTATAGTTCAGTTCTAGTTCAGTTATAGTTCAGTTATAGTTCAGTTATAGTTCAGTTATAGTTCAGTTATAGTTCAGTTCTAGTTCAGTTCTAGTTCAGTTCTAGTTCTAGTTCAGTTCTAGTTCAGTTCTAGTTCAGTTCTAGTTCAGTTCTAGTTCAGTTCTAGTTCAGTTCTAGTTCAGTTCTAGTTCAGTTCTAGTTCAGTTCTAGTTCTGTTCTAGTTCTGTTCTAGTTCTGTTCTAGTTCTGTTCTAGTTCTGTTCTAGTTCTGTTCTAGTTCTGTTCTAGTTCTGTTCTAGTTCAGTACAGAAATCAGTTACTAAAACCGTTCAAAACAGGACAAGACCAACTTTTTTTGCCATTATTTTTTATATTAAGACCAAATGTTTTCGTATGTGTTTTTTTTAGAAAAATCTTTACATTGTTTTTAACAATTTATACAAATGTTTTTAAGTATGTTTTGTTAATCGACTTTTATTGTTTTCCACTCGTTTTAAATAAATTTATTTATATTTTTTTACTGGAAAAATGCATAAAACACGACTAGAGATACGAGGGTAGTGACTGCTTGTTAAAGACATTTGTTGAAATAATTTATTTATGTTTTGTTGTTGTTACTCGCCATGTTTTTTATGAGGTTATAATGGCAATGTGTCTAGAAAAATTATGGGCTAAAAGAAGAGGCAAAGGCTAGAAAAAGAAAATGCCTCTTGGAATTTTTATCTAAATAATAGTTTACACTTTTGTTTATATTGTTGTTCTTGTAGTTTGGAGTTCATGTTGTGGTGGCATAAAATTGTGGTATAAATATTATAAGCATCATCATGGAGCAGCAAGTACAGCCTATAGTGGAGTAGAAAAAAGATGATTTTAACGACAGCAACGATTGAAATATTCCATTGATGCATTTTTAAATTCCAAATAACTAAGAGTTTAGTTTGTTGATTTTTTTTATTGAAAATTCTGTGTTAAATGAAAAGTGAAATCAGAAATCTATAAGAAACAATTTCCTTTTACTTGTTATTACTCGCTTAACAAGAAATTAACTTCTCCCGATAGATTTAGCTAAGTGCTTCGTTTGTGACAAGTGAATGCGTTTGAAAATTCGCAAATTTGCTTTAACATATTTTTTCTTAAAGGGTATTTAAGTTTCGTTTTATATTCGTTTCCTTAGATACTTTTATGAAATTCCTAAAATTTTGTTTCATTTTCATTTCATGTTGCTCTGGCATGGTATTTCTCCCATTACTTTTCCTTTTTGCAATCTAAAAAAAAAAAATATGTAGATGCATTTCTTTGAAAATGCATTTATGTTTGAAAAAAATAAACATAATTTTTTATCAATGGCACGTGTTAATGCTTGTATTCAGGATTTCTATTTGTAGTTTGTTTAATGTTTGAAATTATGTATTTATTAGTAAATTTGTTTATATGTATTCTTAATATTTTATGAAAGTATTTTGTATTTGTCTAGGTTAAAAATACTTTACATATAAATTTCAGTACAATTTGTTTACAATTTTTTCAAAGATATTAGGGATTTTAATGAATTTTGCCGGTAAAGTTTAAGATAAACAAGTAAAACATCTAAGAATACATTTAATCAAACTGAATACTTCGCTAGAGAAGATTCCAGATATCATTACTTAAACTGGAGTCCGCTACAATGTTCTAGATCAGTTCTAGTTCAGTTCTAGTTCAGTTCTAGTTCAGTTCTAGTTCAGTTCTAGTTCAGTTCAGTTCTAGTTCTGCTCTAGTTCTGCTCTAGTTCTGTTCTAGTTCTGTTCTAGTTCTGTTCTAGTTCTGTTCTAGTTCTGTTCTAGTTCTGTTCTAGTTCTGTTCTAGTTCTGTTCTAGTTCTGTTCTAGTTCTGTTCTAGTTCTGTTCTAGTTATGTTCTAGTTCTGTTCTAGTTCTGTTCTAGTTCTGTTCTAGTTCTGTTCTAGTTCTAGTTCTGTTCTAGTTCTAGTTCTAGTTCTGTTCTAGTTCTGTTCTAGTTCTGTTCTAGTTCTAGTCTGTTCTAGTTCTGTTCTAGTTCTGTTCTAGTTCTGTTCTAGTTCTGTTCTAGTTCTAGTTCTGTTCTAGTTCTGTTCTAGTTCTGTTCTAGTTCTGTTCTAGTTCTGTTCTAGTTCTGTTCTAGTTCTGTTCTAGTTCTGTTCTAGTTCTGTTCTAGTTCTGTCTAGTTCTGTTCTAGTTCTGTTCTAGTTCTGTTCTAGTTCTGTTCTAGTTCTGTTCTAGTTCTGTTCTAGTTCTGTTCTAGTTCTGTTCTAGTTCTGTTCTAGTTCTGTTCTAGTTCTGTTCTAGTTCTGTTCTAGTTCTGTTCTAGTTCTGTTCTAGTTTCTGTTCTAGTTCTGTTCTAGTTCTGTTCTAGTTCTGTTCTAGTTCTGTTCTGTTCTAGTTCTGTTCTAGTTCTGTTCTAGTTCTAGTTCTGTTCTAGTTCTGTTCTAGTTCTGTTCTAGTTCTGTTCTAGTTCTGTTCTAGTCTGTTCTAGTTCTGTTCTAGTTCTGTTCTAGTTCTGTTCTAGTTCTGTTCTAGTTCTGTTCTAGTTCTGTTCTAGTTCTGTCCTAGTTCTGTTCTAGTGCTGTTCTAGTGCTGTTCTAGTTCTGTTCAAGTTCTGTTCTAGTTCTGTTCTAGTTTTGTTCTAGTTCTGTTCTAGTTCTGTTCTAGTTCTGTTCTAGTTCTGTTCTAGTTCTGTTCTAGTTCTGTTCTAGTTCTGTTCTAGTTCTGTTCTAGTTCTGTTCTAGTTCTGTTCTAGTTCTGTTCAAGTTCTGTTCAGTTTGTTCTAGTTCTGTTCTAGTTCTGTTCTAGTTCTGTTCTAGTTCTGTTCGTTCAGTTCTAGTTCTGTTCTAGTTCTGTTCTAGTTCTGTTCTAGTTCAGTTCAGTTCTACTTCAGTTCTAGTTCAGTTCTAGTTCAGTTCTAGTTCAGTTCTAGTTCAGTTCTAGTTCAGTTCTAGTTCAGTTCTAGTTCAGTTCTAGTTCAGTTCTAGTTCAGTTCTAGTTCAGTTCAGTTCTAGTTCAGTTCTAGTTCAGTTCTAGTTCAGTTCTAGTTCAGTTCTAGTTCAGTTCTAGTTCAGTTCTAGTTCAGTTCTAGTTCAGTTCTGTTCAGTTCTAGTTCAGTTGCTAGTTCAGTTCTAGTTCAGTTCTAGTTCAGTTCTAGTTCAGTTCTAGTTCAGTTCTAGTTCAGTTCTAGTTCAGTTCTAGTTCAGTTCTAGTTCAGTTCTAGTTCAGTTCTAGTTCAGTTCTAGTTCAGTTCTAGTTCAGTTCTAGTTCAGTTCTAGTTCCGTTTAGTTCAGTCTAGTTCAGTTCTAGTTCAGTTCTAGTTCAGTCTAGTTCAGTTCTAGTTCAGTTCTAAGTTCAGTTCTAGTTCAGTTCTAGTTCATTCTAGTTCAGTTCTAGTTCAGTTCTAGTTCAGTCTAGTTCAGTTCTATTTCAGTTCTAGTTCAGTTCTAGTTCAGTTCTAGTTCAGTTCTAGTTCAGTTCTAGTTCAGTTCTCGTCAGTTCTAGTTCAGGTTGCTAGTTTCAGTTCTAGTCAGTTCTAGTTCAGCTCTAGTTCAGTTCTAGTTCAGTTTCTAGTTCAGTTCTAGTTCAGTTCTAGTTCCGTTCTAGTTCAGTAGTTCACTTTTCTAGTTCAGTTCTAGTTCAGTTCTAGTTCAGTTCTAGTTCAGTTCTAGTTCAGTTCTAGTTCAGTTCTAGTTCAGTTCTAGTTCAGTTCTAGTTCAGTTCTAGTTCAGTTCTAGTTCAGTTCTAGTTCAGTTCTAGTTCAGTTCTAGTTCAGTTCTAGTTCAGTTCTAGTTCAGTTCTAGTTCAGTTCTAGTTCAGTTCTAGTTCAGTTCTAGTTCAGTAATAGTTCAGTTCTAGTTCAGTTCTAATTCAGTTCTAGTTTAGTTCTAGTTCAGTTCTAGTTCAGTTCTAGTTCTAGTTTAGTTCTAGTTCAGTTCTAGTTCAGTTCTAGTTCTAGTTCAGTTCTAGTTCAGTTCTAGTTCAGTTCTAGTTCAGTTCTAGTTCAGTTCTAGTTCAGTTCTAGTTCAGATCTAGTTCAGTTCTAGTTCAGTTTTAGTTCAGTTCTAGTTCAGTTCTAGTTCTAGTTCAGTTCTAGTTCTAGTTCAGTTCTAGTGCAGTTCTAGTGCAGTTCTAGTTCTAGTTCAGTTCTAGTGCAGTTCTAGTTCTAGTTCAGTTCTAGTTCAGATCTAGTTCAGTTCAAGTTCAGTTCTAGTTCTAGTTCAGTTCTAGTGCAGTTCTAGTTCTAGTTCAGATCTAGTTCAGTTCAAGTTCAGTTCTAGTTCAGTTCTAGTTCAGTTCTAGTTCAGTTCTAGTTCAGTTCTAGTTCAGTTCTAGTTCAGTTCTAGTTCAGTTCTAGTTCAGTTCTAGTTCAGTTCTAGTTCAGTTCTAGTTCAGTTCTAGTTCAGTTCTAGTTCAGTTCTAGTTCAGTTCTAGTTCAGTTCTAGTTCAGTTCTGTTCTAGTTCTGTTCTTGTTCAGTTCTAATTCTGTTTTGAGCATTTAAACGTAATTTTATTCAAAAAAATTTATTTTATTTGTATTTATTTAAAAACTTGTTCCTTTATGTTATTTAATACATTTTTTAATAATATTCTTTCTTCCTTTCCTTTCTTGCAGGTAAGATTTTAATGAGATTTTATAATGGAATTTTTTACGGTAACAAACAGACATTTTTCATACATTTATCATATAGACGGTTTATATGTAAATAAGTATGAAATTTACATTAATTTCATATATCATAAAAAAATTTAAAATTTAAACAACAACATCAATAATAACAATTGAACAGCAATATTTGAATGTGAGTTTAAAAAAAGTTCTGAAATTTCAAGAATTTTTATTTTGATTAATTATCGAATTGTGTGTAAATATGAAAAAAAAAGAAAGAACACAAAAACAATATGAATAATAATAATTTAAATAGGAATTTATCTTGGCATTTCCCCTTCTCCAAACAAAAAAAAACAACTCTTTCTTTTTCAAAAGTAATTAATCATTGGCGTTCTGGAAAATGAGAAATAAAGAAAAGAATTGAAAAACAAAACAACAATATGGTTTGAAATTTAAATAAAAAAATTTTATATTAAACCATGGCGAATTTTGTTACATACTGCATGAAAAATTACGTAATAATGAAAATTAGGGATCAATTAAGAAACATGAAAATTATCATCGGATTACAAATAACGTACATGTAAGAGCTTATAGCAATGTATCAAGAAAACATTCTCAAGCACCTAAGTCTATATGTGAGGTCTATAATTCTTATCAAAGAAACATTTTTGCTCAAATCTATAAATTTTTTTAAAAGAATTATTTTTATTCAAGCCCACAATGAATTTCATAATTTTATGTCATCATTAATGTTTAAAAAAAACATTTTTCTTAATTTTTATGTCTTTCGGAAAATTGTTTTTCTCTACCAACACTTACGTCACCCACAATTTTGTTGCTTTTTTTGCTTTTAATTTTAATTTTCAAATTAACACCTTCTAATAAACACACTTGTCATTTCGGTGTGTATTTTTTTGTTTTATGTATGTGTGTTTAAAAGTATAAACTTGTATGTTTAAATAAAAATTTTCATTTAATAGTCTACTTATGTTAGTTTTTTTCTATTTTTTTCTCATTTGAATCAAATTTAAAATTCTAAACAAATTATTCATTGTAAATAGAACAAACAAAAGTGCATAGACTGCAAATAGAATATGTTAAAGAATGCATTCATGCATTTTAAATTTTATTTACATGAGTAATTAACAAATGCTATTAACAACTACTTAAAAATTAATGAATTGGTTAAATGTTTTTGAAACTAAAGGAATTTAAGAGAATAATAAAAAAAAAAACATAATTTAGACATGAAGGACAGTTCATTTACCCGTGGCCTAGACCTACAAAGAAGTTAGATCACCTTTATCTCTACAGTTCAGTTCTAGTTTAGTTCTAGTTCAGTTCTAGTTCAGTTCTAGTTCAGATCTAGTTCAGTTCTAGTTCAGTTCTAGTTCAATTCTAGTTCTGTTCTAGTGCTGTTTTAGTTCTGCTCTAGTTCTGTTCTAGTTCGGTTCTAGTTTAGTTCTAGTTCAGTTCTAGTTCAGTTCTAGTTTCAGTTCTACTAGTTCAGTTCAGTTCTAGTTCAGTTCTAGTTCAGTTCTAGTTCAGTTCTAGTTCAGTTCTAGTTCAGTTCTAGTTCAGTTCTAGTTCAGTTCTAGTTCAGTTCTAGTTCAGTTCTAGTTCAGTTCTAGTTCAGTTCTAGTTCAGTTCTAGTTCAGTTCTAGTTCAGTTCTAGTTCAGTTCTAGTTCAGTTCTAGTTCAGTTCTAGTTCAGTTCTAGTTCAGTTCTACTTCAGTTCCAGTTCAGTTCTAGTTCAGTTCTAGTTCAGTTCTAGTTCAGTTCTAGTTCAGTTCTAGTTCAGTTCTAGTTCAGTTCTAGTTCAGTTCTAGTTCAGTTCTAGTTCAGTTCAAGTTAAGTTCTAGTTCAGTTCTAGTTCAGTTCTAGATCAGTTCTAGTTCAGTTCTAGTTCAGTTCTAGTTCAGTTCTAGTTCAGTTCTAGTAGTTCTAGTTAGTTCTAGTTCAGTTCTAGTTCAGTTCTAGTTCAGTTCTAGTTCAGTTCTAGTTCAGTTCTAGTTCAGTTCCAGTTCAGTTCTAGTTCAGTTCTAGTTCAGTTCTAGTTCAGTTCTAGTTCAGTTCTAGTTCAGTTCTAGTTCAGTTCTAGTTCAGTTCTAGTTCAGTTCTAGTTCAGTTCTAGTTCAGTTCTAGTTCAGTTCTAGTTCAGTTCTAGTTCAGTTCTAGTTCAGTTCTAGTTCAGTTCTAGTTCAGTTCTAGTTCAGTTCTAGTTCAGTTCTAGTTCAGTTCTAGTTCAGTTCTAGTTCAGTTCTAGTTCAGTTCTAGTTCAGTTCTAGTTCAGTTCTAGTTCAGTTCTAGTTCAGTTCTAGTTCAGTTCTAGTTCAGTTCTAGTTCAGTTCTAGTTCAGTTCTAGTTCAGTTCTAGTTCAGTTCTAGTTCAGTTCTAGTTCAGTTCTAGTTCAGTTCTAGTTCAGTTCTAGTTCAGTTCTAGTTCAGTTCTAGTTCAGTTCTAGTTCAGTTCTAGTTCAGTTCTAGTTCAGTTCTAGTTCAGTTTCTAGTTCAGTTCTAGTTCATTCTAGTTCGTTCTAGTTCCAGGTCTAGTTTCAGTTCTAGTTCAGTTCTAGTTCTTTCTAGTTCTATTCTAGTTCAGCTTCTAGTTCAGTTCTAGTTCAGTTCTAGTTTCTAGTTCAGTTCTAGTTCAGTTCTAGTTCAGTTCTAGTTCAGTTCTAGTTCAGTTCTAGTTCAGTTCTAGTTCAGTTCTAGTTCAGTTCTAGTTTCAGTCTAGTTCAGTTCTAGTTCAGTTCTAGTTCAGTTCTAGTTCAGTTCTAGTTCAGTTCTAGTTCAGTTCTAGTTCAGTTCTAGTTCAGTTCTAGTTCAGTTCTAGTTCAGTTCTAGTTCATTCTAGTTCAGTTCTAGTTCCGTTCTAGTTCAGTTCTAGTTTAGTTCTAGTTCAGTTCTAGTCAGTTCTAGGACGGTTCTCTTTCGGTTCCAGTTCAGTTCAGTTCTTGTTCAGTTCTTGTTCAGTTCTAGTTCTTGTTCAGTTCTAGTTCAGTTTCAGTTCTTGTTCAGTTTTTGCTCAGTTCTAGTTCAGTTCTAGTTTAGTTCTAGTCCTGGTTCTAATTAAGTTTCATATTGTTTATGAATGCATTCTTTTAGTGCTCTTTCTTTAGAAGTACTTTGCATGTTATTTCATTGTAAAAAAGTAATTAAAAATCATACATTTATTTATATAGATGTATTTTACATACATCTACAAAGAAATATACTTAAATACATTATGTATAATAGACCTGTCCTGGAAAATAAATTCATTTTGGATGAGTCTTCTGCAATTAGGAACCGGCGACAAATAACATAAACGCACTTGTTCCGATTTTAAAATTTTACATACTGAAAGTAAATTTGGCATTAGATTGATTCGAAATTTTTGTTCACAAATTTCGAAAAAAAAAAGTCAAAAAACATAGCTACTTTTCATAGTTGACTAGAACAAAATTACACCGATCAAAAGCAGGGCAGTTCTAATGTAATTTATATATTTATGTACTTATGTATATAAAACTATATATGAGGGAATTAAGCCACATGGATGGTATGAATGGCAACAAAGACACAACACAATCGACTTTTCAAAATGTTAAATTCAAATGAAATTGACTCGTTTAACTGGAATAGAAGAAAATTGAACTGAGGGAATACAAACAACATGTAAGTGCATATGTATGTGAATACATATGTATGTATATGCAAATACTTGTACAACAACAAAATGTTGGTTGCTGCACTGCTTGCAAAAAAATATTTATTTGAAAAATTAAATAATGAAAAAGAACAAATAATTAAGAAAGAAAAGAACAACAACAAAAAATACAATTGCTTTCATTTATTTGATTAAAACGAAGCAATTTATTCTTCTTACTTCTTTTTTGTTCTAAATAGTAAAAAAAATACCAAGAATCTTAGAATAAAAAGAAAAAAATATTCTAAAAACTCGTATATAATACTTGGAGGTTTTGAATTAAATCTTAGGATTAAACGGGTGTAAAACCAATATTTCTAATGATTTTTTTTCAATTTAAAATCTTGCGATCAGTAACTTTGGTCTGTGATTTCATTAAATTTTAGGTTTAGTATTGAAATTTAATTTTTGGTTAAAATTTCTATAGATCTTGTTTAATATTTTTCATTGGTGGTCATAATTTTTTTAACACTTGTTTTGAACAATTGACCCATTCACCCATATTGAAAAAAAATAAATAAATATTGACCCAATGCAACACTTCCGTGCAAAAATAAAAACAAGTAAGAAAGTATAGTCGGGCGTGGTCGACCATATGATACCCTACACCAGTTATGAATATTAAATGTGATTTATTTATCATAATAAAGCATTTATCTTCAATATTCCCTTGTTCCGATACATTTAAGCAATTTATGGATGAAAAACTAATTTTCTGAAAGAGGCTTTATATGGGGGCTAGGGGCAAATATGGACCAAGCCCGATAAAATTTTGTGAATATATTTATATTTACATAATATTTTATTGTGCTGAATTTCATCGCGATATTTGTGTTTATAAGTTAATTTGGGACATTCAAGTAATTTTCTGAAGGGGACTTTGTATGGGAGCTAGGGTCAAATGGGGACCGATCTTTATGAAATTTGGCAGGGTTATCAAGACTTCTATAAAACTTAGTTGTGCCGTATTTTATCGATATATCTGTATATTTAACATAATTATGAGCTCAGAAGCCCTTTTCGGGCGGTTCTGTTCTATGGGGGCTAGGTGAAATAATGGACCGATTTATCTTGAAAATTGCGACCTGTAGCTTGCGCACAAGGTTTACATGGACAGCCAGCCAGACGGACGGACGGACGGACATAGCTTAATCGACTCAGAAAACGATTCTAAGCCGATTGGTATACTTTAAGGTGGGTCTAGGACGAATATTTTTATATGTTACAAACATCAGCACAAATCCAATATACCCTCCCCACTAAAGTGGTGTAGGGTATAATTAACACAAAAAAGATTTCCATTTACAGGTAAATAAATCTTTAGTCATGAGTAATTATTTCAACTATAAACAGCTTAAAACAATAACAATGTGTTAAGTATAATTATGATGGGATGAATCAATTAAAAAGAATTTTTTTAACAACAATATTAATAAAACACATGGCCAGTAAAGCTAAGAATTAAATTGTAATTGCATCAGGTGTCAAAGCCACCTCCTGTAAGTGGCATTATATTAAAAAAAGGTAAAAAGTATAAAGAGATATACAACCTAGCAAGTGTAAAAGACAAAATTCTTTATACACACATACATACTTTCAGTTTCTGTCTGTTGTAATATTAAAAAATATTATTTTTTCTCTTTTTTATTATAAACAAAGAAAATTGTATAAAAAAACAAAGTGCAACAAAATATATATGTAAACAAACATGCAACCTACAATATCACATGCTGTTGGCATGGTGCA